TTCAATGCAATAAACAGAGTAAAAGTTACATTTGCTTAGGTTTTGGTGATTTTAAAATACAGCACATTTTACTTACATAGAGATTTTTATTCCAGAAAGGTATTGAACATGACAGTCTAACAATCCGTCCTTGGGTCGCTGTCACTGCTGCTCTCATATCAGCTGACAAGACCTCTGCCGGGTCTCTACACATTGTTAAAGAACACTTCTAGAACCATCCTAATGGCCATGTTCTAACTGTCACTTGGAAAAAAATTGATCACTGGAGATTTGTACAGCAGGACTTTTGGCAGAAAATCAGTCATATCATTCGCTCCAGTAAAGCCCTTCTGAGTGAAAGGCCATATCAAATGCCATGACTATGGAGTTAGAGTTGGAATCATTCTGTTCTCAAACCATGCAAGGAAACTACAGCGTTTGAAACGTAAGACATGGACACAATAATTTATAATTTATTGCTGAAACTATGCCAATTCTTTGGCAAAATACAATTTTAATTTTAATTTTAAGAGAGTCATTTTCAAAATAAGAAATTCTTACTCTTATAGAGCTTACATGTGTTGATGTAATAGAGATATAATTTTGACTTAACAATGTTGCTAGTGGATGTGACTTGATTTGAACTTTGAAGAAGAGTGAAGATCAAGCTCACAACTAAAAAATCGAATGGTCTAATGCTTATTATTCCTAGCATGAAAGTATAAAGTCTTGTGGAAAAATAAAAAGAAAGCATGAGTGTATGTTATGTTGCAAAAACAAAATTAGGATTATGCAGCTATAATATACTAGTATGTTTGACAGGACATATGCTTACCTGCAGATAATGCTATACTTTTCAATTGATTGTTATGGTGTAATTCTACACCTGTGTTTCAAAAGCTAGGATATAAACATCTGACCTCTTGTTCTGATGAAGGCACCAAAACCTTTAAAAGGGAAATTTTGGCTGCAAGAGGGCTTCAGAATATTCAAGGAAAACTTGAATTTAAAAATAAGTATGTTTTGGTGCAAATATTTTTTTTAAAGATTTATTTTGATTATTTTTTCATTGGAAAGGCGGATATACAGAGAGGAGAGACAGAGAGGAAGATCTTCCGTCCGATGATTCACTCCCCAAGTGAGCGCAACGGGCCGATACTATGCCGAGCCGAAGCCAGGAGCCTCCTCCGGGTCTCCCACGCGGGTGCAGGTTCCCAAAGCTTTGGGCCTTCCTCAACTGCTTTCCCAGGCCACAGGCAGGGAGCTGGAAGGGAAGTGGGGCTGCCGGGATTAGAACCGGCGCCCATATGGGATCCCGGGCGTGCAAGGCGAGGACCTTTAACCACTTGCGCCACAGCGCCGGGCCCTTGGTGCAAATATTTTGAAACCCATAAATCTTGGGCCAGGCACGGTAGTCTAGCAACTAAAGTCCTCACCGTGAACACACCAGGATCCCAAGTGGGTGCTGGTTCTAATCCCGGCAGCCCCACTTCCCATCCAACTCACTGCCTGTGGCCTGCGAAAGCAGTTGAGGACAGCCCAAAGCCTTGGGACCATGCACCAGCATGGAAGACCTAGAGGAAGTTCCTGACTCTCCTTGCTTTGGCTTGGCGCAGCACCGGCCATTGCAGTCACTTGGGGAGTGAATCATCGGGCAGATCTTCCTCTCTGTCTCTCCTCCTCTGTGTACATCTGACTTTGTAATAAAAATAAATAAATCTTTAAAAAAAAGAGAAATCCATTCATCTTTTCATAATATGAGTTACCCGTGATCTTGTTGAAGATTAAACAGCACGAATTCCAAATTGCACCAAAATAAAGCTCTTTTAATTCTGTTTTTCATTAATTTTTGAAGTACTCTCATTTTTACATATTATTTGAAATTCTTTTGATTCCTCAAATTCATTTTCCTTAAAGTAGGAATATTTTAAATATGTTTTGGAAGTATCTTATTAAATAAAAAATGAAAGGGAGAGAGTTTCTAATTAATTTATGTCAATTTGCACTTTTCTTTCTCCTCCTCAAACACTTGTAAAGTATTTTCATGTATGTTGTGGCAATATTTCTTTAAAGAGGCAGGTATTAGCATCATGTACCTGCTGTGAACCATGTTTATGTACCACATTGTTGATTTGGGAGATAGTGAAAAGCTTCAACTCTTTCATCTAGTTTGAAAATATAAACTACATGAGTTTTGCATTTTCAATTGAATCCTTTCTGAAGATGGATAATGAAATCTGAAAAATCTAACAGTTTGTAGTGCCTCCAGCACCAAGAATTTCAGATAGGAGATCATCAACCTATGTATCTATAAAGAACAGTCTAAATTATGATTAAATGTGCTATAGAACTTGAAACAAAACACACTTTATACTTTATTAATTATTTGTGAAACAATCTAACATATTTCTTTGTGATTTATTTTGTGGGTTTCTTTCTTTCACCAACAGTTGAATGTAATTGGTAAAATGTTAGTCCAAAACTGTAATGTCAGCATTTCTGCTTAATGATAGAAGCACAGTTGACAAATTGGAATAATAAAATTCAGCAAATAAATATTTGTAATAGTTATTTTCCTTTTACTAGATACCAGCTCTTCTAGCTGCATGTAACTCACAGCTAGTTTAAATCTCACAATTTTAAAACAATTTTTAATCTCATGTGTTTTGAAATACCTGAAAAGGCTTTGAATCCTGCCACACTGAATCCTTTGACATTCTGCAGAGGAAGCATGAATTAATCATTGAGTTTATCCAGCAAGAGAAGATGCATCTTACTAATTCCATGAGCTCCCAAACAGCAAGCATGCACACACACACACACACACACACACACACACACACACACACACACACAAACACACACTCATACACACGCTGTTTCTAAGGCTATAACTCGTGAAAACATTCCTACAACTTTCATATTGCTGCTTGCTCTGTTCTTGGTCTCAGAATTCTAACAGTTGATAGAACATGGTTGAAATCTACCCTTGTGCATTGTTGATTTTGCTTTTACACTGTCAGAAAACTTAACGATGAGTATTTGATAATAGTAAAACCAAGTGTGCCAAGGATTACTGTGTACTTTTTGAAAGGGTGTTCAAGAAATGTTTTGGTTGTTATAAATTAATATTTTATTTAAAAATCTGAATTATTTTTTAAAATATTTATTTTTATTGCAAAGTCAGATATACAGAGAGGAGGAGAGACAGAGAGAAAGATCTTCTATCCAATGATTCACTCCCCAAGGAATTGCAACAGCCAATGCTGGGCTGAGCCGAAGCCAGGAGCCCTGATCCTATTCTGGGTCTCCCACAAGGGTGCAGGGTCCCAAAGTTGCAGGGTCCCAAAGTTTCAGGCCACAAGCATGGAGCTAGATGGGAAGCTGGGCTGCCAGCATTAGAACCGGCACCCATATGGGATCCTGGTATGTACAAGGCAAGGACTTTAGCTGCTAGACCACAGCGCTGGGCCCCCCAAATCCTAAATTATTATATGCATTTGAAAACATTAAACACTCTCATTGGGGAGTGAAGAGGTAATTCCAGTATTGCTCAGATCAATTTAAAATGGAGATACATGTGTTAAACAACAAGTGATGACTTTTCATTGTTTCCTGACTGCCCTGAATGAGAGGTTTTATATGAACAGTTAGTTATCCCATACAGCAGTGCAGTTAGGGATTGATTTTGGCAGCTTTTTTCTTTGTGTTTTTTTTTTTTAATTTGATTCAGTCTCTCCCACACCCTTCCCACTTTGCTTCACTGGTTTGTAAGGAGCTTAAGACAATAGTCCTTGTCATTTAACATTTTGGTAGCACTCTATGCAGGAAGGGAATTTTGAGTGAAGTACATACAACATATGTTGATGATATAGATCATTTCTTCAGGCAGGGATATAAAGTTTCATTGAAAAGATGGAATTTGCAAAGAGCAAAATATGTGAACCTACTCTTGCTAACTCTTTTGAAGGAGCAGTTAGCAGTGCTATGGATGAGGTCAGGAGATGGACATTTCTTCTCAAATGAGCTAATTACTCAACTTTGCTTGTCCATGAATTGGGGCATTTAGGCTAGTTGGCTGTTACTTTCTATCCTAAGACTTATTCTGTTTTAGTGAAGAGCAAAATGATTTTTTGTAGTAATTTTCTGTGCCAGTTAACATTTAATTTAAATCCCTAGAATAGGGTCTCTTCAAGATGAAATTGTAAGATAGTATCCATAAAATTAACTGCAGTCTAGTATCTGTACTTCTAATGATTTAAAAAAAGATTTTATTAGATCAGAAATTGATTATTTTGTTTATTTGTTTATTTTTCATTCATTTATTTGCAAAGCTGATTAACAGAGGAATATACAATCATGGAGGGAGAGGAGGATAAGAGAGAGAGTGAGAAAGTGAGAGAGCAACAGAGAGAGAGAAAGAGAGAGAGAATCTTTCATTTGCTCACTCATTTATCAAATGGTTGCAGAGAGCAGAACTGAATCGATCCAATGCCAGGAACCAAGAGCTTCTCCCATATGGGTGCTGGGATGCACGCCACTGGCCCATCGTTCACTGCTTTGTCAGGTGCGTTAGCAGGGAGCTGGATGGGAAGTGGAACAGCCAGGTCTCAGAGCAGTACCATGTGAAATGCCAGTGCCACAAGTTCCCTGTGTCACAATGTTGGGCCCAAGAATTTGAAATTTAATGTCATTTACTTATTGTTTACTTAATTTTAGTAAACTTATATTTTTCCTCTTTGCTTTGGATCTTTATTGTAGGTAGTAAATTATTCACTTGTATAATTTTTTATGAATAATGACCAATCCATATAAAATTCTTTTGCCTTTTGTTTCTAATGTTCATTTGCCTTTTGACCCTAGCAGTGTTCCCAGCCTCATGTATCTAGAAGGGAAGAGCAGATAATGCGTTATTTCATTGTATGGTTATACCACAAAATCCACTAACAGTGTTGATAATGATGTGAAAGTACTGCTATTTGAATACCCTTCATGTCATATATTTTCTATTTATTTTGCAGGACATCGCTAGAGACTAATCAGAGAATTTTTACTCAGCTAAACAGGTAGGAGAAATATTTTTGACAATTATGTTTATTATAGCTATGTTTCAAAAATTTACCACTTCTCTTAGTGACTGTAGGTAGACTTGAAGGATGCTTTTTCTAAATAAGTGAAAACTATACATTTAACTGGTGTAACTGGTAATTATCCAAAAAACAGTGTTTGCAAGTTTAAAATTTTTCTCCGTGCTAATAGAGATTTTAATTTTGAATTTGCCACTTGAATTTAAGGTGTACACAATTTATTTTAACTGTGCTATACACACTTTCTATATATTAGGAAAGTATTTTAAGGCATATAAAAAACATCTAATATGTAACTCCAATGTATATTGTTAGAAACTGAGAGATGCCATCTATCAAGTTTTAATATTGTTGATAACCTAAACATATAATTTTAAAGAAAAACTAAAGTAGCCATACATATAATTAGTCATCAATTAATAATATACATGTTAATTTGGAGAGATTTACTTGAGCATTCATTTAATGCAGTGTAGAAAATGTGGCCCTGTTCTTGATTAGGGAGTATGTGAAGGTAAATTTAGAATTTCTAGTCTAATATGTGCTTCTTTAATAATAACTTAATTATAGCTATTACAAACCAAATTGTTTAATTGTGGCAAATCATGAAAATTTTTTTGGATGTAGGTCAATCCACACATCCACATCCTCTTTATTAACTCAGGACGAATTGCTCAGTGTTTGAACAGAGCAAAACAGGATAGACTAGAGATAGAAAACAAAACATCAGAGGCAGAAACACCACGAAAATCCAGTTCTGGGGTGATTGCAAGGGCTGACGATCGCATGGCTTTCTACCTTGGTTGAGGATCTCGTTGGCTTTGCTTATGTTGTTGAGAAGAGTCCCCTCACTTTGTGGTTGATTTATCATGTGCCTCTGGGATGTTCAGTTTCCCAGTTTACAAAGTGCTGTAGTAACATCATTCTTGTTAAGTGAGTGAATGTAGGGCTGTGTAATGAAAGTGTCACTTCTTGAGTCTCCTATGGAAAGAATAAGTTATTTTTTTATAATCTAGTTGAATGGTGAAACAGTAGGCCTTAGATCATGAATAGGCAATAATTCTTTCTGTAGCTCTGGGTGATGCCAAATAAAGTATATTTCGCTTGTATTACCTGCAGAAAAAAAAAAACATGCTTTATTTTTCTAGCTATTGAATCATAGGTTTCATCCTTATACCTCTTTACTTTGAAACATTGGCTGATTTACTGATCAGTGGCCAAGATTTTATGATTCTGTTTATTCTTTTTGTATCGTTCGCTGTACTTTCAGATAAGCCTTTATCTTCAGTGAAGAATGAGAAATCAGAATGCATGAATTGGTTGCAATTGTTTGTCATTAAATTATAACAAATTTGCAAAAAGTTTGGAAAATGCTTACTGTGAAAAAATCTTTATGAATTCAAAATTTTTTCAAAAATAAATATATTTAACTCCATTTTCCCATTAAATTATTTTAAATACCTTGGTACTATGCCACTTGATAAAAACTGTTGTTTATTGGTGTAAATTTAGTACAATTAGAATTGCATCTAGTTAGAGAAAAATTGTTTTAGTCTGATTTCTACTAGAATTTTCTTTTTAATAACCTGATATATTTGCATTTATATTATGATCTTTTTCCTTTTCTAAAATTTAATTACTAAAATTGATAATTATTCACCTTAGAGTAGATATGTTTTATTCTCTTAATATACATTTCTTTACTCTTGGGAGATTGGAATCTCAAATATATAAAATAATAACTATAAGTACTACTTTCATCAATGGTAACTACTCTAAAATCTTAGTGTTCATTTTCCCAAAGTTGTTAATAATATATGCAAGTATCACTATACCATCAATATATGTATGTAAATACAAGCCTTTTATACTCTATGAAGGAGTCCATGTTTTTTTCCTTTTTCATTTCACTCACAGAAATCTTGCTAAGTCAATACATGTTGTCTATTTCATCCGTTTTAATAACAGTAAATTTGGCAGTATTTGTGAGTGTATCATTATTTATCTCATATGCCTACCAAAATATTTTTTAAACAAGAACTCAAAAATAGAAGTAGCATTGCCTTAGATACATTTTTTTTTTGGCAAACATACAAAGAAAAAAATCACCATTTGCACAATAAATGAAGAAATTAAAAGTGACAAATGTGCTACACTAAGGAAGTATAGAAAAAAAGGGTTAGATATCTATACACCAATGTTATATTAAAAGAATATTTTAAAACACTTCAGTATCTGTGCTGTGGGTATAAAAAACTGAAAATGTAACAATCTCTTCAAGATTAACCCAAAGTGATGGTTCCTTCTACAAGTATGCCTAGTCTCTTCTCTTCATTTCCTCCTGTCCCAGTTGTCTTAGATCTCCATGGCATTTCAAGGAAAAGTAGGTCTTATCGCATCATGTCACATAGAAAAATTCTTATCTTTTTGTTTTCCTTGCTGGGCTATTAACCTCTGGTGTATAATGACTATGTCATTCAGTTTTGCAACTCACAGATGCAGAATAACTATCCCTTTAATTAAATCAGACTTAAGTTTGAGAAAAAGGAGTAATCAAATAGAACTGTTTAAATCGTACAAAAATGTTTTAAGGTGACATTCCACGCCAATTATCCCTGAAATAAATCATAATCAATTCTTAAGATGGCTGATGCAATTTAAGCATGTAATTTTTTTATATAAAGTAAAAATTGTTTTAAATTTAATCTTAATGATTGCTTGTGATATTCCTGCTGAAAATTGCACCTAGAAAACAAATAGTTCACAGAAAATGGTTGTAAAATGTGTGGTATTAAATTACGAGATATGTTACTTCACATAAATCTAAAAACACATGATCAATTTCAAGCACATTATATTCAAGCAAACGATTATTTTTGTTAATACTGTAGGAAAATTAGCTCCTCTAAAAATGTAGTTATTTACTTTAAAAAACAGCAACAGCATGTCAAGAAACAATGTTCCATGTAAAATCGACTAGAAGAGAGTATTGTTATAAGCATTTTTTTACATACATGAAGTAAATTGCCACTCATGTTATTTGAATCTCTTTTTCTCAAGTAACAAAGATAATTGTTTCAAGTTTGCATCATTCTTGAAAAAATCGCTGTTTCTACCTTTGTGTGAATTCAATGGCACAGTACATTTAAAATATGATGAATAGATGTACCAAGTCTACTTTTGTTATTGTATTAAGAATAATTTAAAAATCTCTCAAAAATAAATACCATCTTTGGTACACACATATCATGACTTTCATAACTCATTAGTTTCCTAGCTAATTGCTGTAGTTTTTACTGAGCAAGTCATGAAGTCTTAGGGAAGGTTGCTCAATCCTTTTTAAGATTCTGTCAATTTATTACTACTTTTTTTATAGCTGGGTGCAGATTTTTGTAACCCAGATTTGAAATTTGTTTTTTTTTTAAGATTTATTTATTTATTGGAAAGTCAGATATACAGAGAGGAGGAGAGACAGAAAGGAAGATCTCCCGTCCCATGATTCACTCCCCAAGTGAGCTCAACGGCCAATGCTATGCCGATCTGAAGCCAGGATCCAGGAACTTCTTCCGGGTTTCCCGCATGGGTACAGGGTCCCAAAGCTCTGGGGCATCCTTGACTGCTTTCCCAGGCCACAAGCACGGAGCTGGATGGGAAGTGGAGCTGCCAGGATCAGAACCAGCGCCCATATGGGATCCCGGCATGTTCAAGGCGAGGACTTTAGCTGCTAGGCCTGACTGGTGGGCCCTGAAATTCTGTTTTAAATGTAAGCCTCAACAATAGCTGTTTCTAAAGTTCTGCTTCTCTCATTATCATTTATTTGATTAGGGTTAAAATGTAAGGGACACTAAGGTTCATGCATGTGACATGACACAATCTAACATAACAAATTCTAAGTAAAAGAAAATTGTTATTGACAAAGGAACAATCTAAATCTGGTTTATGAGGCTACTCTAACTAATTGGGTTCAATTTTCTAACCAATGGGTTAGCTCAGTTCCCAAAGCTCCCTAAAGGATTAGGAAATAGAATATCCACAATTTCATTGGTCAGCCAATGAATGAATCACAAACCTCTGGGATAAACAGAGACTTCCTCCTCCATATTACACTTTTTCATAAAAAAAATTAGGGAGAGCCATAATTGTGACACATCAATCTGGAGATTTAACCAAATAATCCTGCCTCTGTGTTCCCAAAGACAAAAGAGTACAAGGGAGAGACCAGGACTGAGCCAACTAAGTTCAAATGGCATTGCTGAAACGTTAGATAATACAAAAGAATGTTTTGGAAAATTATGTGTGTTTGATGCAGACACTTAAGACATCCCCTGAAACACATCCCTCTGTGCCAACTCTACTCCCGGTTTCCTGTCCCCGTCCCGCTAGTGTGCACAGTGTTAAAGGAGGGATTACTCAAATGCTTGTGTTCCTGCCACCTCCAAAGTGATCCAGATAGTTTGAGCCTCAGACTTCAGGCCAGAACAGCCTCTGTTTGACTCAGATCCACAAATAATCTTATGTTATAAATGTACAATCTTCTTTGTACTGAAGCTATTTTAAAATATTCTCATTAATCATGAATAGAATGGTGAATAACTATAACTGATCTGGAGGGTGTCAGATCATCAGGCAGATCATATCATCCATGTATATCTTGCCACAATGTCTTTGTTGACTAAGCAAAGACCTATGCATGCCTGGAAGATCTGCTGTTGCTTTCATTCTGTATAAAATCACACTTCCCTTTTATAGACACATCATTTGCTATACTGACACATAATTCGCAGCACTTAATAGTACGTATTTCCAGTTGTTCACACATCCCTCTGCCTTACTAGAACTGGGAAATCTAGAGGCCAGACGCAGTATCTTGAACACATTTTTTTTAAAATAATCATCAAGGTTGAGGTACTTTTCACATATATCACAAAATTCTCTTCACAGAACCAGTTCAAAGTAAATTTTCAATGTAATTCCCTGGA